CCAGAGTTTTCGTTAACTCAGGGTATACTTACTCAGTTTTTCCACTAAACCGGCTTCCTGAAACAGGGCCCAGGAGTGTGAAAAGTCTGTGGCTGGGATCACAGAGGATCCGCTACATCTTCCTCGTGCAGCGCTGTCTAGGGAAACCTTGCATGGCTGGCAGTTCAGTCCTGGTGATGCGCTGTCTGATCTCACCACCCTCTGCAGAGCTTTGGTCCTGAGCGTTACAGCTTCCATACCAGGTGGTGATGCAGCCAGTCAGAAGACTCTCAATGGTGCATCGGTATGAGTTTGTTAGTATTCTGGGGTTCATGCCGAATCTTCTCAGGTGCCGCAGGAAGAAGAGCCGCTGTCTTGCTGCTTTTGTGATCACACCAACATGGTGTGACCAGCTCAGATCCTCGCTGATGTTGATGCCCAGGAATCTGAAGCAGATGACTCTCTCCACCTCTGCTCCTTCGATGTGGATGGGAGTGTGGCCTCCTCTCTGCAGTCTCCTGTAATCCACGATGAGCTCCTTGGTTTTGCTGACGTTGAACAGCAGGTTGTTGTCGCGGCACCATGATGTCAGGGCTCTCACTTCTGCCCTGTATGCCATCTCATCTCCATCAGAAATGCAGCCGATAATGATGGTGTCAAATGCAATATATGATGGTGTTGGAGCTGTGTGTTTCTGTACAGTCGTGGGTGAACAGGGTGTACAGCAGGGGGGGGTGAGCACTCATCCCTTGGGGGCACCTGTGCTGAGTGAGAGTGTGGATGTCTGTCAGGAAGTCCAGGATCCAGCTGCACAGGGAGGAGCTGATGTTCAGGTCACTGGTCATATCATCCAGACAGGACGAGTCTGGATGATATGATGGTGTTGAAGGCGGAGCTAGAGTTAATGAACAGCATATGCACATATGTGTTTTTCTGGTCCAGGTGGGAGAGGGCAATGTGAAGTTCACTTGCTATTGCGTCTGTAGATCTGTTAGGCCTGTAGGCAAACTGGAGTGCTCAGAGCACTTCATAGCAATGGAGGTGAGTGCTACTGTTTGATAGTCATTTAGGCAGCTCACATTAGTTTTCTTTGGGACAGGGGTGATGGTGATCCTCTTAAAACATTTTGGGACAGCAGCCTGGTCCAGGAGCTTTCCGAGTGTTTATTTTCCTGATGTATTTACACACGACTGCCTGAGAAATCTGAAGAGAGCAGCAGCTGTCCTCTTCCAGCAAAAGCTCTTGAGATAGCTGTTTATCAAAGCGTGCATAGAAGGTGTTAAGCTTATTAGGGTAGAGAAGCAGTTACCTTCCTCACTCTGCCGCTGTTTCCCTTGTAGTCTGCGATGGTCTTCAGACCACTCCACATGTTCATCCACATTCCTCCACATGAGCTGCTTAGTGCTGGAGGGAGGTTGGAACAGTCAGAATTTACATTCAGAAGGCAATATCCTTGGATTCTGCCAAACAAACACAGATTCTCACAAATGCTTGTACAGGACTGTCACGATGCACTCAGGAGTGAGCGACTCTCTCGTACAAATAAGAGAGAGATATTAGATATTGGATGGGGCCGCTTTATGTAAAAGCATATGGTTCTGTGAAAAAATCTAACATTGCCCTATTTACCCATCCTGCAATCCAAGCACTCCATTTAGAGCTGGTCTGGAATCAGTCAACTGAGACATTTTTGGTAGCATTGAAGAGATTTGTTGCTCTGAGAGGCGTTATCTATTTCGACAAAATTTAAGAGAGCAGACCAAGACTTAAAAGGGCTATAAAAGACCAATAAAGTCCTGCAGTTATTGAAGTTTTTCTCAAAAAGGGGCATCACCTGGAAGTTCATTGCAGAGCAAACAGCCTGGTGGGGTGAATATTGGGATCATC